AGTCTACCTTAGGGGAGTGCAGAGATGAACCTTGGTAGGTGTAGTGTGAAGGTGATATTACTTAAACATATGTGTATATGTAACATACATAATATTTATAGATACAAATACTCGTACTTAAATAAGTATATAGATATACATAAATATATACATATCATAAATATACACATATAAAACATATATAAACAAATATTATCCATTTTTCTCACTGATTTCGTCCAGTGACTTGTGTGTAAAAACCAGGCAAATTATTCTCATATCAATAACATTATTTGCTATGCAACTTTTTATAATATCCTATTTTAATGAAATAAAGCCTAAATTCCGATTCAATTTTATATTTGTCCGGAGAAATTCGCGAACAAACAAACACAGAGAAAGACAAATAGACAGAAAATAATTTAAAAACGTTACTCTTATTTAGTCACCCTCCTGCTATTTTTATTACTTTTCTTCAATGTACAGACAGGCACACCGGATTCCAATATTTTTTTTAATTTATGTTAATAGAAAGTAAATCAACACCCGTTACAGAATTGTTTGAAAAAATATTTCTAATCTGTGCTTACTAAATAAGTGATATTTCAATGGTTCTAGGTAATTCATTCAGTCAAACTTATTAACAAATAATCCAAGGAAATTAATTAGATCACCGAAAATATTACGTTCATAATTATTACGTTATTTAGTGTTCTTTGAAATACAAGTTTATTGTTAACTAACTACAGGTAAATTAATAAAATCAAAAGTTCATTATTAAAAAAGCTCTGTATATTCCCACCTAAGAAGTTAATTAAAAATTATAGAGTAGCATCTTAGTTTCGATACACAATAACATGTGTGATATGATTTTGTAGTCTACGAGCTTCAGGCACGGAACACAATTAACTTGTAAGATTGTCTGCGGAGGCTGCACTGGGACCCTCCTCATCCATCCTCCCCTCCAAACAAAACATCAATNCATTATTAAAAAAGCTCTGTATATTCCCACCTAAGAAGTTAATTAAAAATTATAGAGTAGCATCTTAGTTTCGATACACAATAACATGTGTGATATGATTTTGTAGTCTACGAGCTTCAGGCACGGAACACAATTAACTTGTAAGATTGTCTGCGGAGGCTGCACTGGGACCCTCCTCATCCATCCTCCCCTCCAAACAAAACATCAATAAAACGTACCGACTCTTGTAATTTAGACTCTATTCTGTAAGCAATAGAGACGGAAATGTATTTGAAGATTCGAAGTTTTATGTGCCGCATTTATTTTGGGTAGATATAGCAGTCCAGTTACCCTTGATTGGTTGTCGTTCCTCTAATCCCGTTTTGATCCTTTCCACCCGAAACCTAGCCCTCTTCGTCTCTCGTTTAACTATTGACGTGGGTGCATACCTGCTCGTGTGGCCCCTCTAATTATATGGAAAACTGAGTTTATACACAATCTAAAGCATCATACGGCTCATATGACTTTATGGTTCTGTAACAACAGCGAATAGTCGTGGTAGTGCTGAGAGCGCCAAGCAACTCGTGTTGATGTCAAACGTTATGCGTTAGTTGTGTGTAAACATTACGTAGGGTTGATAATTTGATAACAGGCCCGAATAAGCACGTAGACCCTGAGAGCGGTGACTAAGGCGATCCTTGATAAAATAAAAAGCCATGCCAGTGTTTGCTACCATAAAGATAAGCGGCGTGACGCGAGCTCGCCGTTGCGGCCACCGCACACACGTGCCTGTACAAGTAAAGACGAAACCGTGAACAAATACTATAATTAAACAGCAAATATTAAAACTCGACGCTGTATCCCTGATAATGATGGAGAAAAACAGTTGTCGCAGTCAGTTACGTTGACATTAAACGGTTTCCGATTTTTTTTATTGCCTTACAAACCGAATATGATCGCATTCGGAATTGAAAACGATCAGACCAGCCGGCAGCCGCGGCGTTAGTCCGCGAAAGCTCCCAACAAAAGGAGCAAAGAATCGGAAAGCGATACGGTTAATCCCACTAATCGGAGAGCAATTGAAAAATAAAAATGTAGATGGCGGAATGATTCCGTTTAGAGCCAAAACGATGCGACAAAATAATAAAAAAGGCGGGAGCGGAACGGTCCGGGCTGGGCCGGCGGCCGGCGGCTAATATTGAAAGCAAATCCTCGACTAAATCCTTAAAGCGCCTGGATTCGAGCACCTGGAAACTGTGTTTGGGTGGCCGCTGCTTGGCCCTCGCTGATAATCATTCTAGATTATTCTATACTTTTCACCTCATTTCAATCTGTTTTTTAAATCAATGGTCCGAAATGATTTTTTTTCATTTAACTTTTATTCGTATTATGTTTTATTATTTAATAAAGAACTTCAGCACATGTGTTCGGTAACAAATCAGTTCATTGTGTGTCTGTCTTTATGCAACCCGCACTTAGCAATCCTTTTATTAAAAGGAGAACAAGTACCCTCACTAATACACTACAATTCGAGTAAATACTTGCTTTCATTTTAATTTTCGAAGAATTAAACAAACAACATGGACGGAGATTTTAGTTTTTATGCATGTTTTTTAGATTTAAATGACAAATGAAGTTCATAGTTGCGATTTCAATACGGCTGCTCTATCTGTAAGTACTTTTAAATTGTAAATGAAATGTTTTAAAATAGTTGTGTGCTAATAATATTCGTAATGTCAATACTCTATAACACGCCATTTTTGTTTGAATATATCAAAGGCAGTAAAGCCTATGTAGCAAACTTCATTAAGTATTTGTGGCCCTTAAAATAATTATTTTACGTACGAAAAAATGCCCTAATTACTCAAACATTTAACGAAAACTACCAAGACCGTTTTGTACGGTCAGGAAATAAATAAATGTGAACGTAACTAACAATTATTGGGACATTTTAAGGAATTCGTAATCAATATAACACAGTAAGTACATTTTTTTTATAAAGTATGCAATTTGGAAAATGAAATTATATATTTCTTACTTAAAATATGTGCTACTAATATAATGATAGCTTATGCCTTTTAGAATCTGTATAATTCATATGTGTGTGATATTTGCTTTGATTTGCTTTGCATGCAAACTCTACTAACTCAATTTGATTCTTTTTGACGTTAAATCCGTTACTTTACTTAATCTATTAGTATCACCAGCATGTCCTCTATGAAATCTGTTAGCCTGATACTTTTTATGTGTGTCGAATCCACTTCATTAGGACGGTGTTATTTCTTGATTTGAACACTTAGATTATTCTCCATAATTCCTGGTGAAATTATAATTGTGAGAGAGAGGGTGAAAAATAAATAAAACAATGAAGCTACTCATTGATATTTTATTATGACTAGAGGTTTTTTAAGTTACAAAACGATCGGATTCGCTTATTTTTTTAATTAATTCACCAAAAAATTTCTACATAATAATTTATTTACGGATACCTCCCTGATATGTTTAAAATCAAAACCTCGGAACTAATTCACGTTCAAAATGATATTTTAATATTATTTACATTAACATTTCTGTGATTCCTTCATTGATAATTAGGCACACGGATGTGGGTAGTCTAAATTATCTAAAAGTCTCGAATACTATAGCGAATGTTATAGCTACAATTAAATTACATTTATTTACAGTTAGTTCTCTGTATGTTCATTGTTAAGTAAATGTGAACATTTTTTTAATAAATAACTGAGATCCTGGTTGCATTAATCTCGTTTAGGCGGTCTCTCTAAAGCCGAGGTCATCAGGTTTTAAGACTTTATTTTTATTTACATATTTACCATAAATAACATTTATTTAAAAAAAACAGTAATACAGCCATTCGTTGAATTTATTTCGGTTTTCAAATAAATATCCATCATAAAACTCAGACTTTTTCTAAAAAATGCTTTATATTTTTTTATTTTTTCCCAACTTATTCGCTGATATCCTAAGGGCTATTTCAGCCACACACTGCATCGAGATGGTCAATATCATATTACAATTGGACATAGTTCATGCAGGAAGATCATAAGTGATTAACATGTAATATTTGAAATCAATCATATTGTCCTAATACAAGTATAACTTTTGAATAGCTTGATAAATATTGACTTTTGTGTAACTGTTATACAGATGTATGTCTTGTTCAAATTGATTTCGTATTGATTCAGAAACTCACAAAATAATACATTTTATTTAACATTTTAATTGGATGTGATATAAAAAATAATATGAGTTTCATTCTTGTTGTCTAAAAAACCAATTCATAATTTCTACAAGTTTCAGTGAACAACTACAGCGATAGACAATATAATTTGTGTAAATCCTGCGAATGCGGAAAGTTCTCTTTATTATTAACTTTAAAACCTCATTGTGTATGTTCATTGTTTGGAGCAAAATAGTTTTAAACAAATTTACGGCAGTTCATATCTGATTGTGTTTAGAAAAGTACAACAATTTTTTTAGATAAAAACATATTTACAAAACGACAAATCATTTTTATTGATACCACAAATAAGTTATTTATAATTAGATACGTATTTTTGTAACAGTAAATATTGAACTAAATAACTAAACTTAATCTAAATAGTCTAAGTACATTTTAAGCTTGTAAAAATTGCACACTTCGCTTTGGTATACGTACATACATAACTACATATTTACATTTCACTTAGAAACGAATCGTTCAGTTTTTATTGCCAGACATTTCTTAACAAATATTATGCTATATGTGAATTATTCACATAATTTACCCCATAACTTACACTTTTTTAAATATAGCTCGTATTGACAGGTCGTATTGACGAGCTGACACTAATCTTTTAGTACCGTAAACTGTCACTATTTTATGATTGAACTAGTGTCCGTGTACATGATCGTGTAGACAAGCGTATGCTTAGTCAAACCATTCCCACAAATGTCTGTAAGACGGAGTAGTGTAAGTGAGGTCGGGCGGCGACTAGGAGGCTCGCGCGGTCGCCAGCAAGGGTGGCGGCGAGCGAGTCTCCTCGCGGCCGCGCGCTTCCTCTCAGAGCACGCGGTCCGACACTCCCACTCCGCCCGCGTACTGGCACGCTGACAGCGGCGCGGACCCGGCCCTCGACACCGGCGACACTGACCCGTAGCTCCCGCCGAACCCTGATGAGTGCTGCTTCGCCTTCAACCTTAGCGACGCTATCGATGACGACATTGCCGGACACGGCTCTGTCCTGTACATGCTGTAAGGATTGGGAGGTGCAGTGTAAGGGCACGGAGCAACACCACCTCCTACACCGGCTGATCCCCCGACGCCTCCCATCCCGCCGCCTCCGACTCCTCCCATTGAAGTCGCCGTGTTGAAACAGTTTACCGAACCCTGATGATGACTTGCCGGTACCACTGATCCGAGGGGATTGACAGGCCACGGAAAACTTTTCGTTCCTAGTGGACTAGGTACTTTCGCAGCCCAGTTATTATAGGGATACGACGAGTAAAGCGCATCGGTGTCCGGGAACGGCTGCATTAAGCCGTTAAATTGAGTGCTGAAGCCATTTTTGAAATCGGCAGCAGCCGCAGCTGCCGCGTTCATTGCATTTCTTTCTCGTTTTCGCCACTTGGCTCTCCGGTTTTTAAACCATACCTGTAACAAAAACAAAAGTATCACAATACTGAAATAGAAACTAGATCTCTGTAAAACTTTACTACCTGATTTGAGTCTATTTACTGGTAGGGTATTTTTAAATTAAATAGTTTGACCGGTAGAAAGCGACCGATCACCGATCACAATCTAAAAGTTTTAACGAGATAAAATGAGAATGCGACCTGCGTTTCGTAGTTATTAACTTTACTCATTACAAAGTTGACAGTGGGACGCGAATGCGGGCATCGGCGCGTATTCGAGCCACGTAGCGTCAGCAGAGTTGCGGAGACCGGAGGCTCCCCCGCCTGCGGCAGCCAACGACCCGTCTAATTGCGGCCGCGAAATGAAGATAAACGAGCTTCGCGATTGGGCGGGACGGCTCGCCGCTACTTGATCGAGCCGCAATAAACGAGCAGCCGCTACAACATCGCCTCCTACTAGCCTCCGTTGAATCGATGTTGTTATTTAGACGAGGTGGTCGGAGGAGGAGTCGTGCGAGCGGTGATAAGTCGCCGTGAACGCAGATAACGCGCGCGCTGATGTATGGCGTGCGTCCGTCACCGGGCGATCGATTGCGCCGACGACACCTCCGCGATAAATTGCGCAATCCACGTAGCGACTGCAATAAATATTGCGCCGCCAGCGGTATTTGTCTCACTCACGGTGGCGGGTTCACCCAGCCGAAACGGTAAATAATACCCTCTTTCCTCGGTTAAGTGAACATAAACGGTCGTTTCCACCCCATATACGATCGTTTATTTTTCGAAACATAAATTTGATGTGTTCGCGTGTTTTTTGTATTGGTCGACACCGGTAAACCGCAGGTTATTAGTCTTTGAATATCCAGCGCGCAATGGACAGTTTCATGACTTTTATGTTTTAACAAGTAGTAAACTTTTCATGGTACATATCGAATTTTGCTTGACAAGTCATCATGATAACATTAATTTCGAATGAAGAGCACGTCTGCAACTTCCTGAAAAACCGCTCTCTAATGAAAATAACTGCAGAGAACTACTGACAAAGCAGAGAGAAAGGAAGCAAAACATATTGAACATTGAATATAAGTCAAGAGGTAGATAATTTGGAAAATAGAGTTATAATGATTACAACAAAATTATATTTGCTTAGATGCACATATGGGAATGTAATTTCCATTATTTGAATAGCGGTGGACAGGCAGCACGAGCGAGGTGCGGCGGGTGTGAGCGAGAAGGGTCGCGAATATTGCGACGCGGGGCTAATCCTTTAAATATATTATTGCAGAATGGTGACCGTACCGCTCCCTATGTCACTATAAAAGGAGTTCTGACATTTTTTTATACATTTCCAAATAATAACGATTTTTTTTAAATTGTTCATCATTTCGCTAATTGACACAACCTACCATTTGTGTACTTTCCTTGAAAGACAAAAGTTGGTTGATGAATAATTTAAATTTAATAAATTTAAAAAGTATCTTGAATGTTGAACCTTAGAGTCGCATTAAATGTTACCATACAATGAATACCCACAATTTGGGTATTCATCCTTTATTTTTCTTATTATTATTCTATAAACGTTTTTAAGTTATAATAATGGATATTAGTTATAAATTTACTAATATTTAGTGAAAATGGAATATAATGTTGCTAATCGAGATTTATAATTATCGTTAATAACTACCGTTTCCATGGTGAAAATGGTTTTCCCGAATCAAATAGTTCGAGGTGATGAATTATAGTCCGCCCTAGTGTTAATGAAGTTATTTTACGGTCAGCAGGATCACAGGGTCGCTAAATTGCCTTAAATTTAAATTAAACTGGAATCACAGTTTTATTAGTGTCATCAATCAAACAAGACCCGACCTAACGACGCGGCGAGCAAGCCAAAGGATTTCAATCTTTACGTAGTAGGGATTTAAGAGCGTTATCTTACATAGTATAGACTCGCACTATTCCAAAGTCAAATAAACATGAGCTCATATAAACGGATAGAGAATATAAACTCGGAATTGACACGTGTCTGAAACAGGGTTGGCGAATGTTTGTTTCGATACAAATTCAATTTGAACAGCTTTTACTGGTTCTATACTTTATCTTCAAATCTCAAGAATTATTTAGTATTGTGGGGCTTACCGTAATACAATACAGTTGATACTTCAATCTAATATCTCAAGGTGGGCTGAGGACCACCCACTTCACACTAGGGGGACAGTGAGCTCTCTATATATCTAAAGTAATTCAACAAAATACTAGCGCTTGTATTTGAAGCGAAAACTCTTACAAAGTACGCTAGTTTTAGTAGTTGCAATAGTAGTGTCAAATAGTATCATATAATATAATCAATAATATTAAAGTACATAAATAAATGTTACTGAATTCTAAATATCTTTCTAAATAAGTTTCACTTAACTTGTAGCGCAATTTGTTTAAAGGAATCAATTCTACTGGTGGTAGGACCTCTTGTGAGTCCGCACGGGTAGGTACCACCATCGCGCCTATTTCTGCCGTAAAGCAGTAATGCGTTTCGGTTTGAGGGGTGGGGCAGCCGTTGTAACTATACTGAGACCTTAGAACTTTTATCTCAAGGTGGGTGGCGCATTTACGTTGTAGATGTCTATGGGCTCCAGTAACCACTTAACACCAGGTGAGCTGCGTGCTCGTCCACCAACCTAAGCAATAAATAAAAAAAATCTTGTCAAATATAATTAAAACCTTATTATTTAATCTGAACTTTTTTTTTTATATTATGCATTTTATAATTCAATCATAGAAAATAAATGATATTTGCTAAAATCATTAATAAAACTATGGGGTCGACGTCCCTATTCTTTGAAACTTATTAAATGCACCCCGTGGAGAAAAAGACGGTAGTGGCTTTAACATTGTGGACGACAGTAATGGAAATAGACTGGAATTGCTCTTAGAATAAACTACTACAAAATAGTCCTTTTCAACGAATATTGACATACAACACTTGATTATGACCAGTTTGATAACGATCGAATCTCTAAATGCAATATTCTTTTCATTTTCAAAAGAAAACCTGAAAATAATTTAATCTAGAATCAAAATAACGTGACTTCCCAATTCGCTGATACAAATTCCATTAAAGCCCCTGTAAAGTCCTCGAGATCAGAACACTAAACTCGTAGCCTATCAAAACACGTACAGGATAACTCTCTAATGTACAACGCTATTCAGTCTTGATTTCTGACACGCGAAATTGTATTGTAAATTACATACAAATAGAATTGCTTTTGTATCACTACGTTCTCGACATGAAAATGTTCCGTTCAATAAATTTTGAATTTGTAGTTCGTAATATAGTAATACGTGTTTACAGAAACAAATTCTTCGTTTTGTCTATTGGGCGTGAGCCAGACCCGGTTACAACACGACAATGTTAATAGTTTATGCTCTCTGAATCACGGGTTATATTGTCAGTTACCACATTATTTTGCGATGTGTCTAAACATTAACTCGTATATTATTATGTAATCTATACTAATATAAAACTGCTACTAAATAGTGTGTCTGTACGTTAAATATGCAAAAAATATACGATTTGATCTTAAATTTTATATACCTGAACTAAAATCACAGAATTTTAAATTGTATTAGTTTAGATGTTTAAAATCAATTTTATTAGCGTATCATATAGACCACTGTCGTATTTTTCAAGTATGCATTTTTAATCAAGAATCACAGTTTTGCGTTTATTAAATATATTTTGTATTTATTTTCATAATTTAAAACTGCACCTCTGGTGGTCGTAGAATTAAGTTTGTTTTTACTACGAGACCTGTAGCAGTTAAGGGCACGGCAATCGGGTCCAAAATATGATCAATCCAAACACAGTTCTTAATTCAAAATATCATCATCATCATTATTAATAGCCTATTTTAGTCTACTGTTGGACGTAGATATCTCTCAAGGAACGCACACGAACCGATCCTAGACTTCTTGTCTCCATCGACTGTCCACTATTCTGCATATAGCCTCGCTCTGCCTTATTACTGGACGTCTTAAGCTACGTTTACCGTTATGTTGTCTCCACTTCAGAACTCTTCTACTCTAACAGTTATCGATTCATATATGCCAAAATTGATATGCCTCTGTATTATTACAATTTTGAGCCTTCTTTTTCGCTTGCCTTACTACAAGCTTCCTCATCTATTAGATCGTAAAAATACTCTCTTCCACCTTATCCCACTAGGTGGGGTCGGCACAACTAATTTTTCTTTTCCATTCTCTTCTATCAGCCGTCATCTCAACACTCACTCCTCTTTCTCTCTCATATCGTCATTCACACACCTCTATCCATGTCTTCTTCGGTCGACCTCTTGCCCCTCCTCCTTGCACTACCATTTCCATACATCTCCTAGTCATGGACATCTTCTATCTAGGCATCACATGTCCATACCACGCAGCTACGTCAGCTCTTTTTGATTACCGGGGCTACTTTCAGACTTCTTCTGATATACTCATTCCTTATTCCCTCATTCATAGATCGTAAAAATACAAAAACAATAAAAAACTCATTACCAATATACTATAGGGTAGGTTAATTTAATAATAAAAGAGAAATGTAACGAATTCAACTTTGCAAAATCACTAAGCGCGAGTTTTTTTTATTAAAGGATGCGCTAAACTGTTTACATGTGACGAGACGGGGTAAACTAAATGCATGCAAAACAACTGATGCAGAGCCCGTGCGGCGATCCAATGCCACGTAAAATAAATAACAGTCTGACCAGCCCTGTCGGCACACGAGGTTCATGCACGTGTTTTTACTAAAACATTTTATCAACACGGGCTGCTTTTCATTTAAAAAAAAACATAAATGGAGCAGCTAAATAATGGCGTTAATCAAATGTATTGCATCGCATCCATGCGCCTACACCGCGCGCCTTACCACGAGTCCTCAAGACAGATTAGGATTTAAAATGAACCATCTATCGGATAATTAAGGGATTATCTTAATTTTAAATATTATGTAAGGATACTACCACTATA